CTTGACATCTTTCTTCTATTATTAATGAGATTTTTAGCATTATTAGAGTCATTAAAATAGTATTAAAAATCTGATTAACTTTGTCAGTTCAATTTAAAAAATAGCAGGTTTTTTTTTTTTAATTGAGAGGAGGTTTCATGGTTTTGCCAACTGGCCTCAAATTTCTGGGCTGAAACGATCCTTTGGCTTCAGCCTCCTGAGCGTTTGAGGCTACAGGCACGAGCACCATGCTAAGAACAGCAATTTTTGAAAGGGAAAACATCTCAAATACATTACTTTCCACAAGTCCTTGTTCATTAACTTTTATAAAAAAAAGAGCACCTTAATTTAAAATACAAATTGAAGAAATTATTGAAAAATAAAACTAAAATAAATTGAAAAAGAGAAGATCCATGTCAAATATAGAAAAACTAATGCAAGCAAGAATGGGGAGGGGCAGTTAGAGCCCTGCTGTGGAGTCTAATATCATGTACACACAAAATGACTCTTAAAGTTTAAGACTCTTAAATGTGTTGAATTATGTTGATGAAGTTGAAAGGAACAATAGAGTCTGAAGCCAGAATTATATTGCCAAGAATGTTAAAACATAGAGGTATGTCTGGCAAAACAATGGTAATTCGTATGGCACTATTTAAAAACTATTTTACTGGATATGTATGGAGTAGATGCCATATTATTATGAGATTGTTCCCTCGTATCAATCAGGTAAAGTCAAAAAAGTGTTGAAAGAATACAAAATTCTCCCAGATGTGACTCAGCCCAACCAACATTCTCATAATCAACACCAGAGCGAATCAAACTGTACATTTGTTCTTATTCTGTCTGTAGCAAACTATGACCTAATCTCAACCTATCTGGCTCATTCCTCATCAACACGCTTCACCTTCCGTGTCAAAATCTCTGGGGAAGGCTTTTATGATGCCCTTAATTAGCTGAATACCTCTCAGTCTTGTCTGCTGGACTACAAATCCTCTGATATCACAGGTTATTTTTTCTTCTACTCAACTTGCACGAGATGAAGAGAGAAAAACATATCCTTCCCTCCTAATTTGAACTTTGTTTCTTCCATGTTCCTGTATTGAGACCCACCTCCTTCCAAGATGAATATTCATCCTCATGGAGAAACAATACCTCTTTTTGCTACTTTGCGGTTATAGCATAGAATACACAGAATAAATGATTATTTGATATATAAATGAATTAAAACATTTCTATCTTTATTTGACTTAACGAAAAATTAAGATAGGGAAAAAGTGATTAGAATTCTGAAGAACATTTTAAAATCTAGGTTATATTATTTCTAACATATAATATAGTATTAATTTTGAATTAAGCAAATAAATCAAATATAAATTATTTGTGTTTTAGAAATATTAAGTATTAGTTGAGTCTATTTGGTTTCACTTGCTTCTCACTAGCTATTTTATCTGAGTTTAGTAATTTTTTTCAAGACTCAGTTTCTTTACATTTTAACTACTTGTAGGTAAGTAAATTTCTAGATAAATTTACTAAATGCATTGAATGGCATGGATTTGGTCAAGTTATTTAGAAGAAATTACACAGTAAAGTTAAGAAGATAAAAATGTGGCTAGAAAATCAGAGTCTGTATATTAACAGATTCTTGGTCAGCTGTCATTTCTGATGTTTACTAACCTGTAATTGTGAACAAGATTATACTGGCTTTTACCATTTCTACAAATGGAATAATAGTAGTCCTTTCTACTTAATGCATTAGAGGGATTGGATGAATAAAATTTACAGTAAATTTCCACAGTGCCTGGAACATAATAGATGTTCAATAAAAATTAGCTATTATTAATTTTAATAAAGTGGAACTAGCATAATCAATAATAGAGTAATAATTTTTTTAAAAAATTCAATCAATTCTAACAAGACTTTATAGTTGATGACCCCAGGAAATACACAGTTATTATAATTATATTTTGTAAAACAGACGAAAGTCTATGTGAAAATTGGAGACCCGAATAGATGGGTCCCACCAACAACCTTGGTGAGAAAAAACAATCAGCAGAATCACTGATCCATAAAATATGCTGCAAGGTAGCCTAAAGGAGATCTTTAAAAAAAGAAAATGAGCACAAAATAAAGAGGCACAGAATTATACAAGCAATTAGGAGAAAGCCATTTTGAGAAGTTTTGAAGTGATTTTTATTTTTACTTTCAAAGACATCCTGATGAACGTTTTTAAAAATACATTGTGTAATTATTATTTTAACATCAAAAGGAAATAAAACAAGTGGTATAGGTGCTGACTGAAAAAGGAAATCTACCAAATAAACCATAAATAGTATGCTATTTTAAATCAACAAGTTTTATATCAAATAGTATATAAATAGTAATATGATTTCTTTGCTATTTTGTCCAATACATATTAATAGTCATGATGTTATCTGTTAGGAAGTTTATTAGTAATTTATTAATTTTTAAGAGATATCGATTTCCTAAGAAATTAAGATAGTAATTTCTGAAGAGTGGCAAAGTGACAGTGGACTGATGAAAACATGTAACTGCATATTGCCTAAAAGGAAAATATTCAATCCATGTTGTATCCGTAATACAACTGTAATTTTACTACCCATAAGCTGAGTTTTCAGTAAGCCTACAATAGTGTCGACATTTCTGTCTGGGAACGGTTTTATTTTTAATGGCATAAGTAAAATTTTCAGCCAAAAGAGCACAACACCATTCTTTAATCAGATATCTATGTCTTTTAGTTTAGTAGTGAAGTCAAATGATCTTGAAACCAGTAGTTTCAGTAAATGCTGAAATATTCTTCCATAGAAAGGCCCAGCCAAATTCTGTATTTCAACACAGCGATGACCACAATCTTAGATAAATCGCCTTCTCTCTCACTAAGCTTTGGGTTTTAAGCAGTACTGAAATTCCTTTATTGTAAAGGAAATATGAAACAAATACTTCAGAATAGCAAAATTTTAGAAGGCATTTAAGAAAAAATGATATCGTCTAAAAAAGAAATTTTGAACAAAGAAATTATGCAAGCAGATAAGCAACAAGAGGATATATCCAAGTACGAAGTACAAACTAATTTTAATTTCAAGCAACAAAAGAGAAAATAATGTTTAAGAATATTTTATTTTAAACTGACTTCATAATTACATAAAAATCATATGAAAAAATTAGTACAAAGAGTTCTTGTATATTCCTCACTGTGCCACACAGCAGGCAAAAGATTTGAGGAGAAATAGCGTTTAGATACATATTCTCAGTAGCTCTCCCAAGATACTTACCAACTACAAAAGAAGGGAGAAATAGTAACTTTACAACGGAGAAACATAATAGACACCAACTAAACCAACTGATGAAAGTAAACTTATAACAAAGTTTTTATCACCACTGTGTCAAAAGAAAATCTTGTTTTTA